TGTTTGAAAACCAAGGTACGACTGTATGCATGAATGGTGGAAAAGTTAAATGAACCGTGGAAGGGGAGGGAGGGAAGTCAATCAATGTATGGTATAATAAAAGATGTTTAATTTGCAATGTAAAATTTGAAAATTTAATAAAAATTATTTTAAAAATAAATAAAAACTTAATAAAACATCAAACATTAATAGTAACAACCTGATCCAATATAAAAAGTCACAATAACTTTAAAATAAACAACTTATACCAAACATTTCCTCAAAGGGGAACTGCTTCATCTGCTCAGTCATTTTGGTTCCCCTTTTCTGAACCTCTTCCAGCTCTGCAATATATTCTATGAAGTAAGAACTGAGCGCAGTACTCCAAACGTGGTCACAGCATATTGTATAACTGCATTATGATGTTTTATTTTCAATTCCCTTCCTAATGATCCCTAGCATGAAATTTGCCGTTCTCACAGCTGCTGCACACTGAGCCAATGACTCCAATGTATTGATCTTGGTCAGTCACTGCCAGTTCAGACCCCATAAGTGTTTGTGTGAAATTAAGGGGGGGGGTGTTGCCCGATATCCATCACTTTACATTGAATTGCATTTCTCATCTGACCACTTATCCACTCAGTTTGGAATGGTCCGTTTGGAGCTGTTCACAATCCATTTTTGTTTTAACAACCCTGGAAAGTATAGCAACATCAGCAAACATGGCCACATCACTGCTCACTCTTAACTCTAGATCATTTATGAACAAGACAAAAAGCCCAGGTCCCCCGGTCCTTGTGGGACTCCACTTTCTGCATCCCTCCATCAGAAGAACTGTCCATTTATGCCTTCTCTTCCTTCCTGTTACTTAATTACCATAGCTCCTGATCCACATGAGGACCTCACCTTTTATTCCATGACTGCTAAGCTTACTTGATGAGGTATTTTATTTAAAGCTTTTTGAAAGCCAGCTGGATCACTTTTATTTCTATACTTGTTGATACTTCTTTAAGGGGTTGATGAAACAGGATTTATCCTTGCAGGAAGACAATAGCATGTCCCCAGTACTAAATTATTTAATTATTAAATGAAATTATTTAAACTAAATTAAATTAATTAAATTATTTTATGACTACTATATCTTTGCTGTCATCTAAGACCAAGAACTCCACTCTGCACATCTTGCCTTGGAGGCTTCTAGCATTAGAGTATAAGCACTTATATACAGTGTCTGTCTGCAAGGATCTCTCCACCCCACCTGAGAAGTATATGCAGCACACAAGAATAGCAGTTCTGTGGGAACGTTCAGGGATGCAGAGAGGATATATTGTTTGATTATATCCTTTCCAACTTGTGTTAACAAGTTCTACAATTTAGAAGAGTAACATTCCCCTTTTTAAACTTGCACAGTGGATGTGTTTGCTCAGGCTCGCTAAAGCCTCTAAAATAAGTTTCCTTGGTAATTTCCCCTATAGTCCCTCATAAAAAGATAGACATGACACAGTCTTCTATAAAAGTATAAAAAGAGTTTACTCACTCACATTCTGTTCACAGATGGATCCTAGAAGGCAGACTTAAGTTACAAAAGTAGTATACCTAGAAACTATCCCATAAGGAGACAGCTCCTTTGTCCTCTCTTGGCTGGAAGCTGGAAGCTGGAAGCCAAGAGAACCTCTTAGGCTAAGCAGATGTTGTTTCCTCAACGAATGTAGTCATTGGCGGCCAGTCCTATGTTTTTGTTACCTGCACAGGTGAGGCCACACCTACCTCTGGTCACATGTAGAGGAAGTCTGTCTCAGCCTAGGAGGAAACAGGAAGTTCCAACTGGCTGGTCCAGACACCCCCTTTTTATGTCCACTCTAGGGATGTTGTACTTGACTGCTCTGTGTTTCTCATCCCACAAGTTCATCCTCCATTGAACAGGTCCTTTCCATGGCATTGCTTTCCTCCTCCTCAGAGTGATACCTTCCTTCCCCAGATCCCTTACTATTCTTGACATGAGGGGAGTTCTCATCCTGGGAGTGAGGCACAGCATCCTCGAAGGCCTCCTCCACAAACCTCTCTGCCTGTCTCAGCTTTCTCAGCTCTGCCACTTTGGCCTCAAGGAAACGAACTTGCTCCTTTAGAGTAGGAACTCACTGCACCAAAGACATACCCACAACTTCTGGCCAACAGGCAGATAGTCATACATGTCAGAGGCTGTGCTGTTGAGTTTCTACCTGCGTAACAGATTTCTTTTTTAACTGCTAGGCTTTTGCTTACATCCAGCAGAGGAGAGGCATGGTGGCCCTGCTGCTGAACTTGCTTGGCAGTTTAACTCACTTGGACACTTTTTTAGCTGAGCCAGAGATGATTAATTAGCTGGGGGGCCCTGAATAGGACTACTCTACACTGCAGCATTCCACCCCCACTCCGCCATAACGAACGGAGGGTGATGGATCATCATGCCTTCAGTTTGTAACACTTCACTCTTACAGGTGAAGAAAAAATACTGTTAAAGGCACAGGACAGCAATCTACTGAAAACAAAAAACCCACCTGAAACCAAAATCATAGCAGTGGAGGAGTGGCAACAGGAGGGAGTTAAAAGTCCATTTTCCAAACTGCAAAATGCATATTCAGTGACATGAAAATGCAGCAACACTTCAACAGAGTCCAAAAAGGCAACCTTTACTGCAGTGATAATCATTTGTGTGGTAAATTGGCTTAAATACAACTAATGGCTGTACCAGACTGTAAAATTAACTTCACCCTCTACTTCACTATATATATGATGACCACCAGAGGGTGCCAGTTCTACACTATTTCTAGCCTTTATTCCTCCAGGAATGAAATGTTGCTCTTCCTCCTCCTTTTCCTCCCCTATCCATGGCTGACCTGAATATACCCACTATAGAGGTTTACTTGTAACAGAAGCCCAGTTGTATTCTAGGTAAAGTGAGCAAGTTCCTCTTAGGGGCCTATTCTTCTTACAAAACTGCTGCTATGTGGAAGTCAAATTTGTCTTAACCAGGAACAGATGCATGCATGAGTAAATATTGGCCACAGAAAAAAGCAGGGTTAACGGGAACCTTGGTGTCAGGTGAAAGGGTATGCCAGGATTAATCTCTCCATTAGTTTTATTTTATTTTGAATAGGAGGACGAGTCTCGTAACATATTAACTTAAACTGATGAAGTAGATGTTCTAGGAGAGATTTGCTTTCACGTGAACGGCTGGCATGTCATTTGGAAAGGATAACATTTCACCAGTCATTAAGTTCTGCACAGAAACCCTTTCATGACTGCAGCTGAGCCATCCTGAAGGCCTCTCCCTGGTTCCCTGTAACCCACCCCCCTTTCAAAAATGTGCATGGAATGAATGAGTTGGCATTCAAATCTATTCTTTTAAAAGCATATTTTCTATTATTATTGGGTCCATTCTGACAAATATTGGGTCCATTCTCTTACTTTTGACCCTTCTTGATTCCCTCATTTCTGGGGGTTGGACTAGATGACCCATGGGGTCCCTTCCAACTCTTCCGTTCTACAATTCTCTTGCCTACAATTCCGACACCCACTTCAGGTTGTACCAATAATACCAGCAGATAAACCACATTTTCTCCAGTTGATGGTATTTTTTTAGGCGGTAGAAAGAGTGTGGCTTTGTTTTGGAGGTTTTTGTTAGGAAATCCTGACATCCAGTGGATGGGGAACGCATGACAGCTGACGTTACACGCCCAACATCCACTTAAAAGCCATATGGTACCTTGAAACACTTCCCCCAAAAGGATTCTGGGAGCTGTAGTGCTGAGAGCCGTTTGGAGACCCCCTATGCCCCTCCCAGAACTACCATTCCCAGAGTTCCCTGGGAAGTTGTGGGCATCTCTTTCGAGAGACAATGGAGTGCGCCTCTGGAGGGTGAAATCAAAGCTTTTCAGCAGCTGCTAGAAGGAAAAACGAAGGAGACGCCCGCGAGAAGCCAAGCTTTAAGGGAGGTCTTGGAATAAGTAGATTTGTTGCTGATCCAAAACACCCACCCACCCCACTCACACATGAAAACAAAGACCACCACAGCCAACCACAAATGAATAACCACACCCTAGGCCAACCCCAACCTGTCTCACCACCAAAGGAACATAAGCAAACAGCAAAGAACTTGCACAAACAATGCTGACACCAAACCCTACATATAGGAAGTAAAATTTTAAAAATCGCCACCCGACCCCACCCATCTCCCCCCCCTCCACCTCTTTCCCCTTTTCTTCCTAATGTCTCGTCAAATGAAAATGATTTGTAAAAATGTAACATGGGGGGGGGGGGGACACATGAGAGAGAGACATTGCACACTTTTGTAAATCAACAAAATCTTTAATAAATAAATAAATACTAGTTTTGGGGAGAGGAGTGCAAGTAGCTAGCCATGCCTAGGGCCCAAAATAGCCTGGCACCAGCACAAGGCCAACAAACACAAAAAGGAAAAGCATCAATGGGGTCACTCCAGCTGGGTAACCCTAGCTTCTACTGAGAGCTCCTCACCCAAGCCGAGAAGGGCTCCTTTGCTCTTCTGTGCAATGCTAAGTGCAACATGTTGGTCTTTGTGACACTGAGGCACATGCCAGAGGCACTGACGACAGAGAAGTAGCTGGTGAGTAGTTGCTTGACCGAGGGGGAGAGGACAGCAGAACAGGGGGCTCCTTCAGCTTCTCCCAAACACACTCCCACCATCCAATTATACATTCACGTTCCAGAGATTGCATCTGCAGGTTCAGGTGACTCAAATCTATGTACAGTATTGACACGCACAGGGGACAGAAAATAGTTTAAAGATTCTGTCCCACAACTAGTCGGGCTGAGCAATATATCGACCATATCGCCACTTTGGTTTCATAATATTTGACCTGCCAATATATTGCGAATCATGAAGTGTGTGAGTGTGTGTTGTACAAAAATCACAATGTGGGAAAAATTGTGAAGCCAGCCAATGCTCCATCCTTATTTCAGATATTGCCATATATCAATATATTCCAATAGTTAGCAGTTTGCTACTCCCTGTTGCAGGGAGTAACATGTATGATGGTATGTTTGGGGCTTTCCTCCATCTCCACTTCGCAGGATTCCTCTGGAATGACAAAATCTTCCACATGGCTTTCCTCCATCTCAGCTGCGGAGGATTTCTCTTCAATGCACTCTGTGGACAATTCTGGTGCAGAAACCACCTTCATGCCTAGAGCTGCCTAGAGTGATGTGCAAAGAAGATGTTAGGATCTTCCAAATTACTGCTTAAAGGGAGCATCTGAGGCCACTGTAACTGTTTTTGTTCTTGGGGAAATTTTCTAATCACAAAGCCAGGATTCCCAAGAACTAAAAGGGTGGAGATCTTGGAGGGTGACGGAGAACTTGGTGCTGCTCCCTTAGGTTCCAATATTCCCAGAAACTGCAGAGGAGGAGGAGCCAGGAGATTCAGAATATTACCCAAAGAAAAATACAGCAGATGAAGGGCCTGTGGCGGCGGGGGGGGGGGGGGGACCTGGCACCCTACTCTGCTGCCTATTTGCACAATTCATGTAGCAGTATAGAGCATGTGCAGCAATACCTCGCTGCCTTTCGGAATACTGTGTTTGCTGCTTCCCGTTTAATACCACCAGCCTAATCCCACACAAGTTTTGAATCATGCCCCACAGCCAGGCGATGTTCCTCTGGCCTCAAGGGGAGCCGCCTCTTTTGTAGGGCTAGTGAGTCTGGGCCTGGGCCAGGTGAAAAGGGCCTTGCGGGGAGCGGCCTTCACGCCCCACAACCAGGCCATGTTCCTCCAGCCTCATGAGGAGCTTCTTTAGTAGGGCTGGTAAGTGTGGGCCTCGCCCCCTAGGCCATGTGGAAAGGGCCTTGTTGGGAGCGGCCTTCACACTAGAAGCCAGGCAATTTTATGTCATATCACACCATATGGCATGGAAGGAAGAATGCAGGAGGGAAGAGGTCCTTCAATGACTAGACATGCTTGTTATTCCCTCTCTCACTGCACCTTGTCTTCTCTTGTTTCCAGGATGTCTGCCAATGTCTTCCTGGGTCCCCTCCTCTCCAAACCCCCCCTGCGGGTGAAAGAAGGCTCCCTGGTGGTCCAATGGCTGAGATTAGTTTCCTGCCTCCAGTTAGCTGCATTCCTAATCAATATTTTGGCCTTGCTGATGTGCATTGCATCCACACTCAGTGTCAACTGGAGAGTGTGGCGTGTGGAAAACATCAAGGGAATCGGCTCTGGAAACATCTGGATTGGAATCTGGCAGGTCTGCTTTTGGAAAGACCCTTCTTTGGCATTGTGAAGATCTCAAGGAGCAATATCCAACCCTCCCAAGGGAAATTTTTATTGCTCAGGACTTAATGGCATTAGCTTCCATTATGAATTCAGCGGCCCTAGGATTAATATCATTTGCCCTGTACAAACTGTTGATCCCCCTTGGAGCGAGTAACTACAAAAGAACTCTGTACATGCTCTAAGACATCCGATCAGCACAGCAGTAGGAATCCCCTCAGAAATAGCAACCTGCCACGTTCCTGACCAATCTTGGAACTTAACATGGATCTCTGCAACTGGTAATACCTCAGGGTGTTTTGAAATTCCTTTTAATTTCATAACTTTCCCTGGAATTATTTTGGTGGGACAGATGATCTCTGGGTGGGCAATAGTGACTTGTGAACCGGTGTCTTTTAACCCTAGAAATCTTCTCCCTTCAATCCAAATATCTTCCCCAGCATTTTTCACAAGAAGATTGTCTTGTTTTATAGCATAGCAATGTGACACTTTCGCCTCCACTACTTCAGCAGGCTTCGGCCTATCCTGACTAGCTTGACTCTCCTCAGCTTTGATGCAATACGTTTTTTTTCTGAGGGCTAATATTACCAGACTTTTCTCCTCCAACTCTACAATTAAAACTTTTGTGGCCAAATTTTCCACATCCCCAGCATTTCAGTTCTTTGGGATTTGTATAATTTGTTTTCCACCCTTTCTCCTCAGTGAGACTGGTGTTGGCTTGGGCCTTCTCATTTTGCCCTTTTGACAATGGCCTATTTCCCTTGTCTTTCTCTGAAGAGGGGTTTCCCTTTGCTTGTTGGAATTTATTTCTGTTAGTCCCCCACACTTTCCCGCCAAAACTTGGTTCATGAAACCTATGGTCCCTTATTTCATTTATTTGGTCAGCTAAGTTAGCGGCTTCTTGAAGTGATTGAGGATGTCTTTCCTTTATAAGATATTTTAATTGGCCGTTTATTGTTTCATAAAATTGTTCCAGAGCAAACACTTCTCTGATTTTTGGAACAGAGTCTCTCCTTCCTGTTCTAACCATTTTGTGAGGTAGTTTGAGATTTTCGCCCCAAGCTGAGCAGATGTCTCCTCCCTCACTTTAGTCACACTTCTGAATTTCTTTCTCAGTTGTTCTGAGGTAATCCCAAAGCTGGTGTATATTAGTTGCTTAAATATATCAACATTTTTGGAATAGTTCTCTGACTTTTGGGCATAAATTTGAGCTAATGACCCACTGATCCTGGCTCTAAGGATCATCATCTTATCCTCATCTTTAAGTTGAAAGTCTTGACAAGCTCTTTCAAATGATATTTATTATAAAAGCCTCAGAGCAATCTTTTTCCTTAAACTCAGGAAAACACTTTAAATCTACCTTCACTTGAGTTGGACTACTGGTGTTATTACTATTATTTTGATTCTCCATAGCTGCCAATTCCAGTTTCCTCATCTCCAACCGAAATTGCATTCTTTCTAACTCCTGTGCAGATTTAATCTTTTCCAATTCCAATCTATATTCCTGTTCTAACTTCCACTTTTCAAATTCTTCAGAGAATTTTGGACCTCCTGCCTCAGGTTGAATACTAGTTATATTTTCTAAACTCTGCTCTTCCCTCTGAGGATTTCCATTCTCCTCTCTTTCAGAGCTGTCATAAGTTGTTTCCCTCACAGGGTTTCTTATCTTTTTGGGTGGCATATTGTGTGAGTGAGAATTATCAATAAATCAACAAATAAGAGAAATTTCCTCTCAGTTCTGTTTCTTCTGGCTAGGCTTCTCTCAAGACTCTGGTCCCAAAGTTCTGCTATGGGTTTTCTCTCTAACCCTTCAAGCTCTCCTTCCTCTGATCATGAGCCGAAACCCTCTACCAGAACAGACTTTGAGCTCTCTTTCTCTTAGTTATCTTGGCTTTGCGGCTTATCTTGGGTACCTCACAACTACACCCCTGGGCTAGGTAATCCCTTCACAGATTTACCCTTTCCCCTCCAGGTGTATTGTTTTTCTCACCGAATCCCACCACTTGCCTACCACTTCTGTGGTAACAGGTAGTGATGTTATTCCACTGCAGGTACGGTTGTTATCCCACCGCTGCCACCAATTTTGTGGCGATCACACAGAGGCCCCGGACGTTTGATGGTCTATTGACCCTGTGCCACCACTGTGATTGCTTGCTTGCTTTTTTTTGCAAATGTTTTTTATTGAGTTTTTTCACAAACAAAGTAAAACAATCTTTTACAGTCATCATTTTATGTTATCTTATTTACACTGCGTATATTCACGCCCAGACTTCCTTCCTTCCCAGCTGCGGTTTTCTTAATATATATCTTCTCTTACAGATTCTTATTCACTTCTATACACATCACAGGATTTGTGTTTACCCTGCTGTAGTTTTTAAACTTCTACAGTTAATTCTTATGTATGCCACAAATTTACCCCATTCTTCTTCAAACTTTGTCCCTTTTTGGTCCCGGATTTTATATGTCTTTTTAGCTAATTCTGTGTATTCAAAAAAATTAGCCTGCCATTCCATAACCGTTGGGGTTTCCTGTGACTTCCACTTTTGAGCTACAAGGATCCTAGCTGCTACTGTAGCATATTGGAATAATTTATGATCCTCCTTTTTTACTTCCTCCCCTATTATCCCTAATAAAAAAGCCTCCGGTTTTTTCGGGAATGTATACTTAAAAAGTTTCTTCAGTTCATTATATATTAAGTCCCAAAATGTTTTCATCTTTTCACACTCCCACCACATGTGGCCACCACTGTGATTGCTTTCTTTGCTGCCGCCACCCCGCTTCTCACGGGGACACACGGAGTCCAGACAGTTGTTAACATTAACAAATAATCAAGTTTATTATTAAATGCAGAAACAAGTGTATGGTTTCAGTTTATTTTTCTCTTGTCAGTTTTTAAATCTTAGTTCCTAACAACTCTAAACTGATTATTCCAACTATCTATCTGACTTAACCTAACAATTCCTCTCACTCTCTCACAATACAACTTGACCAACCCACTGCCTATTCCTCTCTCTTCCTTCTCCAACTCCCAAACCTCAACTGACTTTCAAAACTTTTACTCCCCCCTTGCATTCTCACTGGCCAATCACATTACACCCATTTTTACCCTTTCCTTATGACCCATCCTAGGAGGCAAATGCCACAGCCATACACCCCAAAGCTCACCTGAAGGACATCAAAGCCCACCTGATATCCCAAAGCATACGATTATACATGTGATTCCCTTCAACCGTAAAGACTAAACTATCAGATCCAGATCCACGCAAATCGCTCCATACATGCATGGATCTGCGTGGATCAGGATCTGATAGTTTTGTTTTGGGACTTCAGGTGGGCTTTGATGTCCTTCAGGTGAGGAGGCCTCTTTTTTATGACTAGTATTTATTTATTTATTAAAGATTTTGTTGATTTACAAAAGTGTGCAATGTCTCTCTCTCATGTCCCCACCCCCACATGTTACATTTTTACAAATCATTTTCATTTGTTGAGACATTAGGAAGAAAAGGGGAAAGAGGTGGAGGGGGGGGAGATGGGTGGGGGTGGGGTCGGGTGGCGATTTTTAAATTTTACTTCCTATATGTACGGTTTGGTGTCAGCGTTGTTTGTGCAAGTTCTTTGCTGTTTGCTTATGTTCCTTTGGTGGTGAGACAGGTTGGGGTTGGCCTAGGGTGTGGTTATTCATTTGTGGTTGGCTGTGGTGGTCTTTGTTTTCATGTGTGAGTGGGGTGGGTGGGTGTTTTGGATCAGCAACAAATCTACTTATTCCAAGACCTCCCCTAAAGCAGTAGTGGATCACCATGAAGAAGGCACCACCACCGAGAAGGCCTCTGCCTGGTTCCCTGTAACTTGGCTTCTCGCAGGCGTCTCCTTCGTTTTTCCTTCTAGCAGCTGCTGAAAACCTTTGATTTCACCCTCCAGAGGCGCACTCCATTGTCTCTCGAAAGAGATGCCCACAACTTCCCAGGGAACTCTGGGAATGGTAGTTCTGGGAGGGGCATAGGGGGTCTCCAAACGGCTCTCAGCACTACAGCTCCCAGAATCCTTTTGGGGGAAGCGTTTCAAGGTACAGTACCATATGGCTTTTAAGTGGATGTTGGGCGTGTAACGTCAGCTGTCATGCGTTCCCCATCCACTGGATGTCAGGATTTCCTAACAAAAACCTCCAAAACAAAGCCACGCTCCTTTCTACCCCCTAAAAAAAGACCATCAACTGGAGAAAATGCAGTTTATCTGCTGGTATTATTGGTACAACCTGAAGTGGGTGTCGGAATTGTAGGCAAGAGAATTGTAGAACGGCAGAGTTGGAAGGGACCCCATGGGTCATCTAGTCCAACCCCCAGAAATGAGGGAATCAAGAAGGGTCAAAAGTAAGAGAATGGACCCAATATTTGTCAGAATGGACCCAATAATAATAGAAAATATGCTTTTAAAGGAATAGAATTGAATGCCAGCTCTTTCATTCCATGCACATTTTTGAAAGGGGGGTGGGTGGGTGGAAAGAGTGAATTCATCACCAGGGGGCTTCCAAGATCTGGTAATTCACTGCTTGGATTTATTTAACATTTGAAGATGCCTTCTTGCTTCAACTATGGGTTTTTTGTGTTTTTATCTTTTATACAGGATAAAAACACAAAAAATAAATAAAACAATAATAATAACAATAATTTAGTTAGACCCCGCCCAACGGGCTGGGTTTTCACCTCCTTTAATTGTAATAGCGCATTAGAGTTCTGATATAAAAAAGGTTTGTCCTGGAATATCAGTTCTGGGAGCGGGGAAGAGCTAAGTGCCTTCATGCACTGCCTGGAAGCTTCCTTGAATCATCTGTCAGGTTTTTGTGGACATCAGTGCATTGGACTAGAATGGGCTATCGGTCTGTTTGCATGACCCTAAGTAATTGTGAGGTTGGGTAACTTGCGATCTGAACAGCAGTGCCATATCCTAGAAAGGCAAACATCTTTTCCGTTTCTGTGGAATTAAGCTTTACTTAGAATAAGATACATTCTCCCCAAATCGCAGTCTCCCTCTGTCCTCATCTGCCACAGTCCACAAAAGTCTGGGCGTCTTTTTCTATCGACCTTGTGCTTTCCAAACAACTGGCCTCCTCCCAAACCGTAGTGCTTATATACTGGGATGGATCTCGTACACGGAAACCACAAGAAGAATTCATTTCCACAGCATCTATTAACAGCCCCCCCCCCCCCAATCTCTGAAAATTCCAAAGAGCTCAATATGGTTTCCGGAACCATGAGAAAGCTGCAGTTCCCAGCACCTTTAACAAACTACAGTTCCCAGGATTCTTGGTGGGGGCGCCTTAAATATACGGTGCAGCTACCAGTGTTGCAAAGCCAAGTTCACAGTTCTGAAATCCACTGAGGAGGCATGTGTTGTTGTTATTTTAAGAACCCAAATCATAATCTTTGTTTCTTTTGATTTTTGCCAGCCTATATATTCTTGCCTTGCGCAATTAACTTATCCTCCCATCTATTTTGATTACATAAAAATAAATTATCTCCTTAATCTCATAAATTCCAATTATGGGTTGGTTGGTTGGTTATTTAGTTAGTTCTTCATGGAAATTTTGAAGCTGTGTGCAGGAGTAAGTTGGGTGGGAAAAGGGATGAGGCTCCTTTAAATGGAGAGAGAGAGAGAGAGAGAGAGAGAGAGAGAGAGAGAGAGAGAAGCAGAACCAAAAATGTCTCACATTTTGTCATGGGCATTTTTCTTTTTGCACAACAAGGGAGAGAAAGGAAACTTTGGGCAATCTCAGAGCCAGAGAATATGGGGCATCTGTGGTCCTCCAGGCTGTTATAGACTGCAATGGGGGGCAGTGTGGTTTAGTGGTTAGAGTACTGGACTGGGACTGGAGGTTTTGAATCATGCCCCACAGCCAGGCCATGTTCCTCTGGCCTCATGAGGAGCCTCTTTTGTGGGGCTAGCGAGTCTGGGCCTAAGCCACGTGGAAAGGGGCTTGCAGGGTGCGGCCTTCACGCTCCACAGCCAGGCAAATTTATTTCATACCACACCATATGGCAGCCATTTTGTGTTTTGCTATGTTCTCATTGGTAGCCAATTGGTGGACTGGCCCATGTAGCACTTTCCCAAAATTGGTCTGGCTCCGTATAAGGCAGCTTCCTCTGCCTCTGATGGCCTCTGAGAAAACTATCACCATTGTATTCCACCCTTCTCAAAACGCCTCAGAGTAACATACCGGCAGTTATATCACATTGTTTACTTATTTATTTATTAGATGAAACAATAAACATCTTAAAAACATTAGAGCCAATAACTGCTGCTTTCTATATTGTGTGTAGGACTTCAAGGATGTTGTGCTGCCCAAATCACACCAAGTGCTGGGACTTGCTTTTTAATAAACGTGCACGTGCGAAGGCTGTATTTCTAAACTTACTTACTTGGGAGTAAGCCCCATTTATTCAATAGGACCTGCCTCTGAGTAGGCATTGTTAAGATTGTGCTGTAAGGCTACATGTTCCACATACATTGATCAGACAATAGTTATTCACTGTGCATAACTGTGAGACTATATGTGCAAAGGCATATCTAGGAGTAAGCTCCATTGAATTCAGTGGGATATCCCTGAGTAGACATGGATAGGGTTCAAACAAAGGGAAGCTTTGTCCCACCCCTATAGTGCCCCTGGGGGGATGAGTTGCATCTGCCTCAGGAGCCAATGTGAAAGGAAAGCATGATGACTTTATTTATGTAAAGACCTACCAAAGGAAAAAGCATGGATTAAATTGTGTTTTGTTATTTTATTTATTTATTTAATAAAACCCATATACCGATTGTAAAAAACAAAACTCAACGCGGTTTATAAATACCAAATGCAATATCCAAGAGTAATGAATATATAAAAAAGGCAAAGGACCCCTGGATGGTTAAGTCCAGTCAAAGGTGACTATGGGATGTGGCACTCATCTCGCTTTTCAGGCCAAGGGAGCTGGGGTTTGTCCACAGATAGCTTTCCAGGTCATGTGGCCAGCATTACTAAACCACTACTGGTGCAACGGGACACCGTGACGAGTGCCAGAGCATACGGAAACACTGTTTACCTTCCCATCGCAGCGGTACCTATTTATCTACTTGCGCTTTGGCGTGCTTTCGAACTGCTAGGTTGGCAGAAGCTGGGACAGAGCAACAAGAACTCACTCTGTTGCGGGGATTCGAACTGCCAACCTTCTGACCAGCAAATCCAAGAGGCTCAGTGGTTTAGACCACAGCGCCCCTCGTGTATATTGGGATGAAACACAACTTTTTACACCCTCGCCTTCTGTATAAATCCTGCTTAGCTGTCTTAATTTTGGGAGCCTAATTAAAGTGGGCCAAATTGTTTTGATGCTGTTTGTCATCAAAAACTCTTGCCGATCTACTGCAAAGGAGAGATCTTCTAGCTACAGATCCTGATCTACCTGCTGCCCATCCCTGCATTGCAATAGCCTGCTTGTCTGAACAGGATCGGCCAGCCAAGGTAGCAGGATTTAATCTCTGCTCCTCAGCTGAGTGGGGATCGAAGCCCTGCCCAAAAGTGCCCTTTGAAGCAGGGTGTGCATGCAAGCTACTTTAAAGAGTCTTTTGCAAAGGCTTTAAGACAACTCCTGTACTTCCACTTGAGCTGCCCAAGGGAGTGTGGAGGCTGTCTTAAAGCCTTTTGCATGTTTCCTCCCTTTTAACTCCACAATGTTGGTGGCTTAAAAAGCATGGGGAAACTTTAAAAGAGCTTTGTGTGTCTCCTCCCACTCCACTTCTAAGCCTCTGAGATCAGGCATGGGTGTGTGTGTGGGGGTGTGTGTAGCTTAAAAGGGGAGTATGGGGAAATGGGCAAAGGGCAAAACCTTCCCCACCTCTGATTTAAGGCATTTATATGCTGCTTAATCATTAACATTTCTAAGCAGTTTACATAAAAATGAACCATACAGTGAACATTCATCATAGAACTGAACATAATCCCAACACTACCTGAAAATGCATTTTGGAACCCTCTGGGAATGCCTTTAATCCCTCTGAGGTCACTTCCAGCTGACCTGTTCACTGAGCTTTCATTCTGATTGGTATGTGGGGAGTTAGACAATGTTGCATGAGGCAAATGTTAGTCTACTCATTTCCTGAGCATTTCCTCATCACTTCTCTTATCAGAAAAAGTCTGATTTGGGGCTGGGGCTGGGGCAGCAAATATCATGGAGCAATCAGCTTTAATTGTGCAAACTAAATTTGCAACGTTGGGAAATCACTCTGTCTCTCTCAACATAACTTGCAAAGTTGCTGTGTGGCTGAAATGTTACCCTCTGTGAGCTCAAAATACAGGATAGATCCTAGGGCGCTGTGCAGGGCTGTGACCCCAAATATTTTGCTGCCTGAGGCAAAAGACAAGTTGGCATCCCTCACCCTTTCGAGAGTAGCAGTTGAATCGTGATTCAAAGAGGCGACCAGGCAGTGCCCTCCACTATACCTGAGAGCCCCCCCCCATCCAAACAGCTACTGCCTGAGGCAGCCACTTCACTCTGATCTATGCTGGGACTGGTGCCAAGGGTGGGTCCCCTTAACAAGTGGGACTAGTACAAAAGGTGTTTTTTAGGGGGCACTAAAATTATGGGAGGTGAGGATTTTGGGATTTATTAAGGTTTCCTTGCCATTCTCTCCATAATCCAGGGTATACTGAGCTCCTTGAAGGAAGAGGGAGATGTAAGATTCTGTTACCATGTTCTATAACTATGGTTTGATGCCTCATACTAGCAGAATTTTTATGTTTGTCTGGATTTTGGTACTGACAGGAACCCTGAAACTGTATGGCTCTAGTTGAAGGGGAAAGCTTATCCTCAGGTGGCAAACAGCTCTTGACCCTAATAAAAATTTGTGCTAGTTAATTTTGAGATCTAAAGGGCTCCTTGGTTTACATCCTTTTTGTTACCATGGGTACATTTGCTGCATTGTGTCAGGCATAATAACACATCCCATATGATTGGTATGTGTATGTCCTTTGCATTTTGAATGGCTTATGACTGGGCTGCCTACAACACAACTGCAATTTTCTGCACATTTACCTGGGAGCAATGTCCCATTAAATATCCCATTAAACACTGTGAGTGAATGAGCCCAATTTATTATTGTTTGCTTCCATTTGGAAGTAACCTGATCTTCTATCATAGCAGAGTTAAAATGTAGGGTGGAGCAGAGCTGCCTCTCTCTCTTTCCTGCCGACATTTTCACCATCAGAAATTGTCCTATTAAAAGGGACTCCCTTGCCAGTGATCTCTCTCATTTGCAGATATCAGAACAGCTACATCCCCTCTATATCAGCTTCTTCTAAACGGCAGCCTTATGGAGGTTTGTAGGGGACACTTTTTGTACTTTTGGTGTCATGTCAGAATTTTGTAACCTTGGGATAAAAAGCAGAAGAGAAACTGGCTTTTGAAATGTGAATTTTATTTTAACAGGCCAGTAATTATGGATGTCTTGAATGATGTTTTTACTGATGGTTTTATTATAATTGTAGCTTTTGTATGGTTAACACTGCCTTGTTTTGAGTGTGTGTGTGTGTGTGTGTTTCTTTATGAAACTGCAATTTACTTTGCTTAAAAGGTGTCATACATAAAGACCAAGCCGGATTCTCCCCAAATAGACAGTTAAAGGACAATGTCAGACATATTATAAATATCATAGAATACCTAGAAGTTAAAAATGAAGTACCAGCGGCCTTACTGTTTATAGACGCTGAAAAAGCGTTCGATAACGTTTCATGGCAGTTTTTGTTAAAGTCTATGGAGGAAATGGGGATCGAGGGCAACTTCATAGAAGGTATAAAGGCGATCTACTCTAACCAAACAGCTAAATTAATTGGTAACAAGAATCTGACAGACACATTTAGCATTATGAAAGGAACAAGACAAGGTTGCCCTCTCTCCCCTTTACTATTCATAATGGTTCTAGAGGTCATAGCGAATGAGGTGAGATACACGCCAGAGATACGGGGCATTAGAGTCGGAACAAAGGAATATAAGTTGAAAGCTTATGCAGATGACCTAGTGTTATCATTAGAAGAACCACAAATAAGCGTCGGTAAAGTGTTGGAACAATTAGATGAATTTGGTAAGGTATCAGGTTTCAAACTAAATAAAACAAAGACTAAAATGTTGGTGAAAAATATAGATAGGAATACAAAAGAGAACATAGAACAGGAATGTGGAATTAAGGTCTCAAAAAAAGTCAAATACTTAGGTATATGGTTAACTTCAAAAAATATCAATCTAATTAGTGATAATTATACACCTATGTGGAAAGAGATTAAAAAAGATCTGGAAATATGGAATAGATTAAAACTTTCATGGTCTGGAAGGATGGCGGCAATCAAAATGAATATCCTCCCAAAAATGCTGTTCTTATTTCAAACCATTCCGGTGATTAGAGGATCCGCGATTTTTAAGGAATGGCAAAAAAGTCTTTCAAAATTTATATGGCAGGCAAAAAGGCCAAGAATTAAATTTCAAATATTAACAGACAGGAGGGAAAGAGGGGCTTTGCTGTGCCAAACCTAAGATTATACTATGAGGCCTCCAGCCTATGTTGGCTTAAAGAATGGATTACCCTAGAGAATTTAGATCTGTTAGACTTAGAAGGCTTTAACAATAGATATGGTTGGCATGCTTACTTGTGGCTCAATAAAGGAAAGGTCCATAAAGGATTCTCCAATCATATTTTCAGAGGAGCATTGCTTGAAATTTGGGGAAAAAATAAGAAACTTTTAGAAAAGAACACTCCTTGGTGGCTATCCCCGACAGACATTCTAACAATAAAAAAGGTAAATATGGAAACGAAAAGGCTAACATATGAAGACATACTGGTTAAAACGGAAAAAGGTTGGAAGATTAAACCATATGATGAACTGAAAGACAGACTAACAGGCTGGTTGCAATACCATCAGATAAATGCACTTTGGAATGAGGATAAAAAATCGGGGATGAACGAGAAAAAATCAAGATACCAGACAGAGGGATTAGAAGGAAAACCAAACTGTTAGCTAAGATGTATAATTTGTTGTTAGAATGGGACACAAAAGACGAAGAAGTAAAGGAGGTAATGACAAAATGGGCCATGGACTTAGGACATAATATAGAGTACGAAAAATGGGAGAGGTTATGGAACAGAGGAATGAAATTCACAGGGTGTGTCACATTAAGGGAAAACCTAGAGAAAATGATGTATTGTTGGTATATCACACCGGTAAAATTGGATAAAATGTATAAAAGCGGAAACAAAATGTGTTGGAGATGTAAGCAGAAGGAGGGGGATTTTTACCACATGTGGTGGGCGTGTGACAAAATAAAAAAATTTTGGGAGCTCATTTATAATGAATTAAAAAATTTTTTTAGGTACACCTTTTCAAAAAAACCAGAGGCACTCCTCTTAGGAATAATTGGGGATGAAATCAAAAGAAAAGACCAAAACCTATTTCAGTATGTGACAACAGCAGCTAGGATATTAATAGCTCAAAAATGGAAATCAGTGGAAATTCCCACGATTACGGATTGGCAAACAAAATTATTCGAATACGCAGAATTGGCAAGAATGACAAACAAAATCAGACACCAAAAGGAAACAAAGTTTAATGAAGAGTGGAGTAAATTTGTAACCTATATTGAGAGTAATTGTGGTAAATTAAAAACTACAGCAGGCTTAACATAATCCTTGTTATGCGTAAATTTTTGACATAGAAACTGCAGGAGAAGAAAAAATGTAAGAAAACCGCAGCAGGAGGGGAGGGAGGTCACGATGCGTGTTAACGCAGTGTAAATAAGTGAATGACACTAAACACTGATAGATAAGAGTGTTCATTGTCTATTCTTATATGCCTTTTTTTTCTTCTGTTATATGTTTTCTGTTTTTTTGTGAAAATCTCAATAAAAAAGAAGAAAAAAAGAAACTGCAATTTACGACTATCTAAATAAAAGCCAAGGTGCATTCTAGTCATTGCTGATTTTATGCTCACATTATAGAAGCTGGAAATGTAAAAATTGAGATAAGTTTCCTAGTGAATCATGAGTAAAGAGGACAGGGTAAGATGGTTACCAAAAAGGATCAGTCAGAAATGAACTGGCATCTCTTTCAAATCAGACTGCCTGGCCTAAAGAAGGATCCTCTGTAATAGGAATGGCCGACCAGCATTCCTTTCACTGCTAAAGGTGAGTATGTCCCAGAGGCTACTGCACCATCACAGAGGCTTCTGGCCTGCTATCGCCTTGAGTGCTGAGAGAATTCTTCAGCTAGAGGGGACAGCTCTTCTACAGCCAAGGTGCCCAAGGGGACGTGTGGTGAACATTAACATCATGGACTATATTTGGCTTGCAGAGAAGTCTTCTCCTTTGGGAAGTGGGGATTTGTCAACTCTGTCTCCATGCCTACTCTGGCAGCACTATTACAGGACCTAATGATGCCAATGACAACAGTAGGGGTTCATTCACCTACCAACGTGATGTCTGTGAGCAATGCCCTTCTGCAGTTCTACGTGGGGCAAACAGGCAGCCTTTGCGCAAAAGAATGTAAATCTAACATCAGATATGGCAATATGCCAAAGTCTGTGGACAAACATTACAGCCTCCTAGGACACTCTGTAACCGACCTTCAGGTGACCATACTGGGACAAAGGAAGTTCAAAGGGAGATAGCTCAGCCGCTCCACATAGCTAACAATTCATCAAGAGATTTGGTGCTATCACTTGTGGATTAAATTGGCACCATTTTTAAAAAATCAAACCATATGTCGTAACTGGCTTAGCAGTTCCAGGATCCCTGTGTTACCAATGGAACTAGTTTTTGTTTTTGTGAATGGCCACTGTTAAATAGGGTTGCCTATTTTTTACTTTCAAAAATTAAAAACCAGGACACCCTAAAAGTTGAGATTTTTTTTTTTACAAGAACGCCAAAAAACCACGATTTTTTGATTGACTTGCTTAAGATCCAGGACAAAGCCCCACCTTTGAGAAATTCCCTCCAGACCTTTGAAATCATGGCAATGTCTGGGAAAATCCGGATGTATGGCAGCATTAATAGTGTTTGTACTTCTCTGCATTTTAGAGCCTTCTCACACACATGCAGCAGTTTGTGCATCTCATGGCATGGACTGTAGTTCACAAAGGCTTTGGCGTAATAAAGTGTATTAGTCTTTAAGACTCTTGGTTGCCTTTGCTGCAAGAGACAAAGATTGCTACCCCTCCAGAAAAAAGAATTTGTTTTCAGTATTGATGATGCCAGTGATGGAAATATGAATAATAATGTTAGTTAAATAATGTCTGCAAGTACTCAAAGAGCTTTGCATACAGTTGTGCAGTAAATCTTAGGACAACTCTATAATGCAGGTCAATATTCTCCCCATACTGCAGGTGGCAGTTGAGGCCACCAAGTGCCTGAGGTCAGGCTTCACCTGAGGACGTGTCTCCTCCTTCTGCCCCTTCTTCATCTTCTTTGGTCTTTGCCATTAAAAAAAAAATACAGCAAAAACAACTAGTCAGAGTCCAAAGAGGATCAATCTCTAAGGATCAATCCCTTTCAGCATTTCCCTCCCATCCCCCATTCAAACTTTTGTGGCTTATGTAGCTAAAGATCTTGGCTATTATGCTCGAGGTATATAAGTTCCTGGTTGGCCTCAAGCTGTGTAGGCAGATGAGCAGGGGGTAATGGAAAGTAAAAGATGCTTTTTAAAACAACAGCAACAACCTGCAGCTTTGCCAACTGTACAGCTCTCCAGCCCCCACTGTTTGTTCACAGTAGGGAAGGTATCTTAATAAATCCAGATTCTATTGTGTTCTAGTTAGGCTCCCTCTCATGCCGAGAAGCTTTGCCTGGCATTGTGCTATGGTTACCTACATCCCACTCTCCTCTCAGCGCAGGGAGGCAGCTCTGGCTTGTGAGTCATCCTGTGCAATATGCTTCTAGACAACGAGAGCCCTTCCAAGCCGTTAGCTATTTGTGCTCTCTGTGGTATTTCTGAGCATGTGGCTCTCTTTCCTCTTGTTGATGCTAGCGCATACCTAGAATGAACATCTGGCCTCGATTTCAAACATCTGGCATATTATAATCCCCAGAGAAGTAATCACCCCTTGATGCTGTTTGCATCTCAATCAGCCTCTTATTCACAATTTGCCTTCTTCCGCGGCCTCCCTTCTGCTCCAGGATTTCCTTTTTGCCTAGGAGAAGCTGTGATGTCATCGAGCCCATAACCACCATCACAAGTTGGTGCTGCAGAAAAGGACATGCCACTCTTTCAATATCTGCAGTGAGCACAGTGGCTTCGTGTGCCTGAATGTTTCAAATGTATGTATGCCTGTAAATAATCCCCAACTCTTATTTATTCAGCTTCCTATGCATTTGTGCACATTTAAAATAGTTGCCTGATCCAAAACATATCTCAAACAACTAATAACAATTGGAATGTCTCTCTATAAGACAATCTTGGGCTAGAGGAGAACACTTTAGCTGCTTTTAAATTGAAAGACTTAATGGGAAGTAACTATTTAATTAGAACAGAATTGTCCTGATGCACTTAATTTCCTGTCTCATTGTGATGCTTGCATCTCCTACTCCTTATTATTTATTTTATTATATTCCTATCCCTCCCTTCCTCTCAAAGGTGCGCAGGATGGCAAAGAACCAGTGATAAATCAATAAAAACAATTCCAGTACTAATGCAGACAGAAAAAGAGGAAGGTCTTTATCAGTTGGAAGAGGAAGGTATTTATCAGGTGCCAAAAAGACTGTAGAGATGGCGCCTGTCTCATATTCAAGGGGAGGGCATCTCATAGGGCAGGTGCCACAACACTAAAGGCCTGATTCCTGTATTGTGCAGAATGGACCTTCTGATGAAATGGTATCTGCAGGAGGCCCTCACCTGCAGAGTGCAGTTACTGCGTATATAAGGGGTGAGATTATCTTTCAAGTATCCTGAACCTTACCGGCATAGGGCTTTATAACACCAAAAACAGCATCTTGAATTTAGTTTGGCAGTTAATTGGTAGCCAATCTGCTTTTAAAGCTTGCATTAAACTGCCGTATTAGGCTTTCACTTCTTTTGATGTTCAACACAGTAACTGCTGAAAGGAAAAGAGCTACTACTTATGTCTCTGCTGATCCTACGAGTCAGATTCACATCTGCAGGGTGGCAGGGGATATTCTGCATAGTTTTCTAGGAGCACAGCACAGACTGATGTGACTCAGTGCCTATGCAGGGGTGTCAGGGCAGTTACGATGGTCTGTTTTTAATATATGGACTCAAAGAGTGTCTAAAATTTTCTGGAGAATTTACCCATTCATTCTAGTTTTGGCCTGGAACAGAGGAAGTCAATGTGGTGTCCTCAAGATGTTGTTGGACTGAAACTGCCACCATCCCTGACCATCAGCCATGTTGGCAGTGGGAGTTGGAGTCCAGCGACGTCTGGAGGGCATCACACATTCAGCAAGGCTGAGGACTACGGCTGACTTGGTTGTCATCCCATACCCTCCAAGATTTCGCTGATGAAAATAGGGATGTCCCGTTCCATAGTGATAGTTTGACTATTTGTACCCCACACATCCTACTGGGTTGACCCAGCCACGCTGGGCAGCTTCCAACATTTATATAAACATAAAAGAACATTAAACATTAAAAAAAACTTCCCTACACAGGATTGCCTTCAGACAGCTCGAGAGTCGGATAACTCCATATCCTCCAACATTTCTCCAATGAAAAAGGGACATCCTAAGGAAAAGTGGGACTTTCCAGGATCAAATTAGAAACTGGGATGGCTTCTCTAAATCAGGGATGTCCCTGGAAAAAAGGGACACTTGGAGCGTCTGTCATCCTTTCCTGCCTGGTTGATCGATCTTTCCAGAGTACACAAGTGCTGAGGTCTTCAGAGCAGCTGAAAAGAGGGCCAGACTTCACTCTCTATAGGACTGCTTTTTCTCAAACTGTTTCAGAAGCAGAAGGCAACAGTCCACCTACTGATGAGTATAGGGAGGTTGGAGCCTGCATTTGCCTACATACCGTACTTGCTTCTGGCAATGGCTGTGAATTGGATTTTCAGATCAGTTTGCAGGCCTGGTCCTTCTTTATGAAACAAAATGCCTGTAATCAGAAGAGGTGAAATGTGGGTGGAGCAAATAGATCTGTCTAGTTACACCCCCCCAAAGGCAATGGAGGGGGTGAAGTGTTCCAATATTTTGGACAGAAAAATATTGCATCCTTACCTCAGAGCAGAATCCATATCACTGGGTTAATAGAAACATCTCTCCCTCCCTCCCTTGTTATCTAACACCAGACACATGTCTCTCTCCATCTCTTAATGTCTGACTTAAAGCAAAAATGAAGTAACAGTTATTGTAGGGGTGGCGGCGAAAGCATCCATTGAATTAAATGGGGTTCTAATAGTCTGGAACGAAGTGAGGCACTCTCTTAAGAAAGACACAGAAACCTCGGCTTTCTTCCTCCTTCACATTGTATTTATAACTTCTAGTAGGGTCAGGGAGTTTGTTGGTTTTTTATTTATTACATTTATTATATTTATAATTCACTGGAGGAAATTTTCAAAGGGTATCGTGGAAAGCTTCCAGAAAGCTGTTATGGAGTTCATGGGTAGTTCTTGAGAAACCAAGAACTTAATGTTTAAACCATTCTGCTTTAAACATGAGATCTGCCATCAGTTCATAGGGACAGGGTATTAGATTTGAGAGGCATAATTAAGGAAAATAAACTGGAAACATGTGAGGAAACCAACAAATGTGAACCTGTACATGTCCAAATAATCTCATTTATCTAGTCTTAAAACCCCCCGTTATTTATTTACATGCTGATGATTACAGGCAACTCCCAGCCTACGTGGGGGTTACATTCCGAGGCACCGCATGTGTCAGTGAAACTGTGTATATTTGAAACACCATTGAAAAGTCCAGCAAACACCCTCTAAACCTTTGGAAAACCTTGAAAAAACCAGCAGCACTTACCAGGCCAGCAGGAAAGGTGGCAAACTCTACCACAAGTGCTCCCTCCAAACCTTTCTCAAACTCCAATTCTCCGCAGGCATCCACAGTTATTGTAAGGGCTCATGGGATTGTTAGGCGCTGTTTTCCCACTGTTGTTTTTCAGCCAGGGATCTGTTTTCATCTTGCTATAAAGGTAAAGGGACCCCTGACCATTAGGTCCAGGCGTGACCGACTCTATAAAAGGTTCAAATTTAGCTTGACTTGGGGAGATTTTGACAATACATGGATCTCTCTGTTCTTGGCATATTGACTCCTTCATAGGCTGAGCTGTGTAGCTTGGCAAAGAAACCAAAAACTGACTCTATTTACATAAGGAAATCCAGATGCCTATAGCTCATACCTTAGGCCAGCCTTGACCAACCGAGCGCCCTCCAGTTGTTTCAAACTACAATTCCCACCAGCCTTAGAGTGTTGGCTGAGTCTGATGGGAATTGCAGTCGAAAACATTTGTAGGCCAAGGCTGGCCTAGAGACATTTGGTGCTGATTCCATTGCTTGTTCCAGGTTGGCAGATGTGGGGGAACACACTTGACAAGATGAGACCTGTAGGCCCCTGCCTCTGAGTTGCTCCACTGCTGCCTCACCACAACCACCAATTCCCATTTGCCCTCTCCACCCAGGGAGAGCGAGATACTGCTTCCTCTCCTCTCTCTTGTTGACGCTCAGAGCAGTCAGGTGAATGAGCAGAGACAGCAAAGAGGAGCAACTGCTCCAAGGCATCAGCAGCCAGTCCCTGCAGGCATGTGAGGTGGAAGGGCTACAGGCCCTCTTTGCATGAAAAGGGCCGCAGGTTCAACCCCTGGCATTTCAGGGTAGGGCAGGGCAGGGCGAGATCTGACTGAAACACTGGAGAAATGCTGCCAGTCAGTGTAGATTAGTGTTCTTCAAACTTGGGTCCCCAGATGTGGGTGGACTATAACTCCCATCATCCTTGACCACTGGGCTAAGTTGGCTGTAGATGATGAGAATTGTAGTCTACCCACATCTGGGGTCCCAAGGCTGAAGAACACTGGTGTAAATAATCCTGAGCTACAGAAGGCATCACCAAGCAGGTTGTTGTTGGGACCCCGGATAAGGGATTGTCTCAGTATTAGGGATCTGATAATGATATCTGCATGGGTGGTTATTGCCAGAGTGGTAAACTTTGGAAGGTGTCTCCATGCACAGGCAGTATGCAAATGTGTGGCAGTGTGCATTGTTGGAAAAACTGTCCCAGCGATTGTGGGTTGTTAGGGAACAAAGCAGATGAGACTCCTTCTTTGCTACATGGTTTGAATTGAGCATACTGGTCAAAAGGAAGATGGCAGGTCTCTGCCTTCAGCCTACATGCCTCAATCCTCACTTCCCATACTTAACTGGCTGTTCCTGTCATCAGATGCATGTTTCTGTGGGGAGAAACAGCACAGAACTGTATTTAGCCATGGTTGTGTCTCTGAGGCTTGACACCCCTCTTCTCCATTTCCTGATCATTCAAAAAGAAAAAGCCAATACTGAGCTAGATGAACAAATGGTCTCATTTTATATAATGCAGAGTACAATATCCAATGAGGGGCCCTATAACATACACAACCAGCAATAACCAGATATGTTTAGTTTAAAATCTACATGAAATCAACCAGGGAAACAAAACTGGTGCAAGAGTTTAAAAACACAAAAAATATGTGTTAATTGCAAATGAGAAGGCCTTAGAAGTCTATATTATGGTGTCACCAATTGTGGTTGACATCTGTCACAATTCATCATTGCCATCTGTATCCAGCGAGGCTGTGCAGGTGCCTGGCCATTGTCTGCAGATAGGCTGGATGAGGGCCAAAAAAACTGAGGCTGCACCCTGAGGAGGAGCTGTGGCTCGGTTTGGAAAGGGTACAAAAGGAGCTTGTAGATGTAATCTCAGAGCCTTTGTCTATGATCTTTGAGAATTATTGGAGAATGAGTGAGGTCCCTGCAGAGTGGAGGTGGGCAAATGTTGTCCTCATCTTCAAAAGGAGGAAAAAAGAAGACACAGGTAAACACCAATCGGGGAGCTTGATGTTGATACCAGGAAAGGTCCTGGAACAGATAATTCAACAGTCAGTCAGTGAGCACTTGGAAAAGTATGTTGTGATTACTAAGACCCAGCATGGGTTTCTCAAAAAACAAGTAATATCAGATGAATTTTGATGGAGGTACCAGCTTGGTGAATCAGGGGAATGCTGTAGACATAGTGTACCTTGATTTCAGTAAGGCTTTTGACCAGAGGTAGGCCCATGGGCCACAAGCTGCCCACAGGGGTAGTTTATGCGGCCCACGAGCCACCCCCGAACTGAGCCGTCCACTCGGTGAGTCCCCGTGCGCTGCGCTAAACTGGCGCAGCATGGCATGGGGACTCACTTCTGCTGTGCTGAAAATTGCGTCTGCGCAGACACATGTGCCAGAAATTGGGTCTGTGCAGACACAGAAGCCGGAAATCATGGGCGCACGCGCTCATGCGCGCGCACAGTCCGGCCCACAGAGGGATCTTCGCTGGAGTAAACTGGCCCAGGCGAGGTAAACCTTGCCAACCCCTGCTTTTGACAAAGCCCCCCATTATATTCTTGTGAGGAAGCTGGTAAAAAGTGGGTTGAACGGGGTAACTATTAGGTGGATTTGCAGCTGGTTGACTGACCAAACCCAAAGAGTACTCCTTAATGGTGCCTCATCATCCTGGAAAAAAGTGACAAGTGGGGTGCTGCAGGATTCTGCCTTGGCCCATTGTTGTTCAACATCTTGGATGAAGGAATTGAGGGGATGCTCATCCAATTTGTAGATGACACCAGACAGGGAAGGGGGGGTAGCTAATGCTGCAGAAGACAAAATCAGAATTAAAAATGACCTTAACAGAATGGAGACCTGGGTCCAAGCTAACAAAACAAATTTCTATTAAGACAAATGTAAGGTTCTACACTTAGGCAGGAAGAACCAGAAGCACATATATAAGATGGGGGACACCAGGCTTACTAGCAAAGGATCTAGGGGTCATGTGAAGAGGGGCATACTGAACCTAGGGTCTGGTCTGAAGGCACAGGAGCTAGAAAAGGATCTAGGGTTCTTAATAGACAAGTTAAACATGAGTCAACAGAGTGCTGCAGCAGCAAAAAAAAAAAAGATAGAGAGAAAAAGAGAGCGAGAGAAAAAAAAAAAGCTAATGCTATTCTAGGCTTCGTCAACAGAAGTATAGTATCCAGATCTATTCTGCCTTGGTCAGACCACACCTGAAATACCGTGTTCAATTCTGGGCACCACAATTTAAGAAGGATGTTGACAAGCTGAAACGTGTGCAGAGGAGGGCAAATAAGATATTCAAAGGTCTGGAAACCAAGCCTTATGCTTTAACTGAGATTCCTGCATTGCAGGGGGTGGACTAGATGATGTTTGGAACCCTTCCAACTCTGAAATTAGGTAGGTAGGCTATTCTGGACAAGATTGGTCTTTGATATATGATTACAGACCTTTTAAGAAACAAACGAACAAAACATACATTATTTGGAAGTGGTTAAAATGTGTCACATTCTTTCACTGGAGGAAGATAAATTGGCTGCACTGTAATTTAGTCATTCCTTCACAGCACAGTAAAAAATCCTGGGAACTGTAGTTTACGTCTTATAAAGCTACAATTCCCAGCACCGTAACAAATTACAGCTCCCAGGTGCATGGTGTGTAGCTGTTTAAGATGGAGCTCTGGCACTTTCAAAAGGAGCTATCCATAAGGAGGGCGCTCTTACAAAGGAACACCTTTTGAGACACAGAGACAATAGAGTACCGGCAGTGTTTATTTACCGAAACAACCTCCCACTGTCTCAGAAATGGGCACCTCGGATGCCTCACAGAAGGTCTCTTCCTCTGTAGTCCTTTGGCCACATTTGCTTCAAGGGTTTGGCTGAGAAATGAAATTGCATGCCAGAAGTGGCCTCCTGCAACGAGGACTTTTGCATTCCTCCGTCCCTTTTTGTCAGGGAGGCTGCGATGGGGCGAGATTGGGCTAGAAAGCGTATTTTCCTCAGCCCGATACACGCAGGCAGGTATTCTGCTTTGCAACGTGCGAGGGGGCGGGAGGAGGGGCTGCATCCCCGCGCCAGGCCGCGAGCGGGCAGCCATTCCTTGCAAGAAGACCCTGGCGGACGGCGATGCACCTTTGTGCTCCTGCCGCGAAGACGCGCAGCATTTCCGCGCCCGGAGCACCTTTGCTCCTTCAAGTAAATCCGAAGCCGCCCTTGGGGCATCCTTTGCGGGAAACTGCTGCTGCCTTGAGTGCGGAGGCTTCGTCCCCACGTGCATCCTCCAGCCCCTTCTGCTTCCGCTGCCCCTCGCCAGAGGATGATGGCTGCTCTGGGGCTTGGGAAAGGAAGCCGGAGAGTCAGCCACCCCCGTTTCTCCCGTTCCAGGAGCGAGCACGGGGAAGCGCATGCGCCTCCGGGCCGCTGCCGCGTAGTCCCCGCTTGCCGCCCCCCCCGCCCGCCCGCCCGCCTTTCCATGGGAGCCCATGACGTCAGGCGGCCGAAGGCGGCGCGAGCTCCATCAGGCGGCGGAGGCTCCGGGTGCGCCAGGCGGGCGGGCGGGCAGCGGGCAGCGGGCAGGGCGGCTTTTCCTGCGTCCGGCGGCGGCGGCAGTAGGCGCTGGAGCAGCTCGTGCATAAAGCGCAAGCGGGGCGCCCCCGGGCTTCAGTGTGTGCATCCTCCCTCCCGCACCAGCCAGGAGGGGCTCGGAAGCGGGGAAGGAGCCGCCGCTCTCCGTTTGCCTCTGGATCCAGAAGGACCCCTCTTTTCCCCTCCTTTCTTCTCGCCCTCCCCGCTCCTTCCTGCCTCTTTCCCTCCATGCATCATTCCTGGGAGCCTCCGATGGTCGGTGCCATTACCTTGCCTCGCATCTAGTGCACCGGGGGCGGTGGGTTGCCGATTGCCCCCCCCCCTCCTCCTCCTTTTTCCTGCATGCAACCTTCCTTTCTTGCCAAGGAGGGCTGAACCCCCTCCTCTCTCCCCTCCCCAGCCTTTGCCGCTGCTGGGCTCTCTCATCTCCTGGGCTGGGAGGGAGAGAGGAGGAGGGAGAGGGGCTTTTCCTTGCGACCCCCCCCTTCCTTCGGTGGATGTGGAAAGAATTGAAGACCCCTGGAAAGGCAGGGTGAAGGAGGAGACCCAAGAAGAAAAGAAAGCGGTTATAGCTGCGAGTCTTCTGTGGACTGTCTAGAGCGCTGATCTTATTTTTTAATATATTTTTTGCACAAGCATGCTGGCCCACAGGCTAGAAGTGATGATGGGGCCCTTGCTGCTTTTGCTAGGATTTTTGCACATACTCGTAGGTTTCGCCCCTATTTTTGCCCTTGAAGGTGAGTTTAAAACCTTTTCTCCCTCCTTTTCCTCTCTTCCATGCCTTCTGTCTTCTCTTGAGTTCTGTTTAAATGAATGAATGCCAGTCCTTATTACGTTGTCTGCTTGCGGTTATCTTCCTTAGTATAAACAATAACACCCTCCCCTCTTTTTGCAGTAAGGGTACCTCTTCCCAAAACGGCAAGGGGTGGGTGGCTGGGTGGGGGAGATCGTTGCTCGTAAGAAATCAGCATATTGTTTGCAGTTTAGAACAAAGCTGCATTTTTTTAAAAGCAGGGGCTGTGTGGAAGGGGGTGTTGCATATTTGGCATTCATCACTAGCCTAGCCTGCCCCCCACCCTCAATGCCTGCAAAATTCTGCCTGTTGTATGTATTACTTTTCAGGAGACAATGGATGTCTGTGCATGAATATATATGCTAATACAGGGATTGGAGTTTTGTATTATTTTTAAGGGGGTTGTGGTGAGACAAGGGTATAAAATTAAGACCCGCTTCTGTGAGATATATTTCTTAATGAATTCACTTCACAGTGTTGAATGGAGGTAACACAGGAATGTCACCACACACACACACACACACACAGCCAGTGTGCAGCTTTAAAACACAACTGGAGCAAAGCTGTGCTCAATAGAGTCATGTTTTCTCCAGATCCTCACATTCACTAGTTGTCTTTTTCAAGAACTGCACCTCCTAGTTTTACTGGCACATCCAGACCAGGGAATGCCAAGTAGTGGAAGTAGTTGCTTCATATTGAAGTCTTCTTCCATTTCCTTTCCTGTTTCAGTAAATAAATCATTTGCTCTGAGGTTTGCAGTGCCTCTGCGTTTCCTTCAGCCTCATCTGCTCCATTGTCATCTTAGGATATTTTCGCTTAAAGATCCTACCTCTGCTGGCAAGAGAGCTATAAAATGGGGAGTTGAAAATCCATCTGTGAAATGACACTGTGCTGTGTGTGTAAATGACAAATCGGTCAAGTATTCATATTTAATTGACTGTCCTGAAGATATAGCTGAATGCCCTCTGATACAGTTGGTTAAACTGGAGACATCCAGGCAATTTAAATGTGATGGAATCTTGGCTGTAAAAAGCATCTGCTAAATCAGTGTTCCCTGCCACCCCCCCTCCCCTCAATTCCCCTCCAAAGCCAAAAGGAGAGGCTGCACTGCGCCCCGAGTGCATGACATAGCAGATACTGAAGACAACAAGGTAGAGTTGAGAGCGGTACCATGTTCTCAAGCCAGTTTGGAAGAACAAAAAAAACAAGGACGGGGTGCTTTCCCCTGGGGGATCAGGGCAGGAACACAGGAAGGTGGTGCTTGGGGAGTGGCTAGTTAGTTGCAAAAAAAGAAAAAGCTGTGGATCACCAATGTGGCTTAGGAATGTGCTTATTTACTCTGCTGACATGGGGAATTTAAGCATGATGGGACAGAGAAGAGGCAAAGAGACTGCCTGCCATGCTTTTAGCTGAAGTGGTAGCTGCAAACTGGAGGTTTCTGTGGCTTCATCTCCCCCTCCCCCCCAGCAAAAAATGATGACAGATAACGAATTAACTTAGCTTTGCCAACCCCAAACCCTCTGCATCACATTTTTCACATATTATTCATGCATGTGTGTGTGTGTGTGTGTGTGTGTGTGAGAGAGAGAGAGAGAGAGAGAGATTGTGATTGTCGTTCTTGAAGGGGTTGGCATGACATTAGTTTCTTTTTTTTAAGCCTTCCTTCAAAATAGACTTGTTTTCTGGGATTTCTCACTAAGTTCTGTTGTGCAAGTCATAACTTTGGGTCTTTGGGGCTCTGGGGTTTTTTTTGGGGTGTGTGTTGAGAGTTCCATTTTGGGGCCCTTCGGCTGCTACATTTAAAATGCGTGTGCCATGCCGGTGGTCTTCTCTGTACTGTTTATATGTAACATTTTGAAGTCATTTTGTGGTTTAGACTCCCTAGATGTTATTCATGGCTATCTCTTCACTGAAGAGGAATTAGTGACTTCTGTAATGTGTAGGCACTGTAGACCAGTGCTTAGATACAACCGTTGGCACAACTAATGACAAACTTCAGTGCATCTTGTGACTGAGCCATAATTGAGCAATCTGTCATTACTGCGTAGATTCAGAACTAAGCAGTTTCTCCTTTGCAGTTCTCCATTTTGACAAGTCTCTCTGGATGGCATCCACTTTCTGGGCTTGATTTTGAACCAGGGCTAATGAAAAGCAGCTTAGCCCTGGAACTAGCCCCCCCTCCCTCGCCACTCTGGTGCAGGCCTGCAACATGCAAAGTAATAAGTGCTCCTTTGAGCATGTGCAGATTGTGCTAGTTCCCTCTGAGTAACTAGCTGATACAGAGGGATTCTGAGAAATACCTGCTAGGAGTAGGATTCTGTACATGCTTGAGTTTTTTTGAGTAAGCACTCCATTAATCTAACATCCCCCTCCCCATTTGCTGGATGGCTTTTCAAATAATGTAACTTCCACATTAGAACCTGCCTTCCCCAATCTTGAGCATGCCTCTTTGTTTGTTTGGTCAGCTAGCATCTCTTTTGTACTTCTGATTCTACACGCCTTCAGACCTTTTTAGTCCAGTCCTAACTCACCTCCAGTGTAGACATTTGCGTTGCAGTCACTTACATATCTGACCCATCATGACTCTCTTTAGTTTTCCGGACTTTGTGTCTCCCTTTAGTCACTGGGGGGTCCAGTAGTTTACTGGTGTACCATTTTTCAGTTGTCTATTTGCTTGGCTGTTTAGAGGCTGGGGATAAGTAGACTAAGTCATACTCTCAGTGGTTACTCAAGTCTGTGGATTTTGACAGTGCTCAAAATACCCCAGGCATGTTTTGCAACTGGTGCGGGTCCAGCTGCAACCATGTGGAGATCTCTGGATGCCAGCTTGGCGAATGACATCTCCATCTGGCTGGCCCCTCCAGCAGGTAAGGAGAAGAGCTTATTTATTGCATTTATATCCCACCTTTTTCTCCAAGTAGTACATGGTTCACCTCCCTCCTCAGTTAATCCCTACAACGACCCTGTGAGGTAGGTTCAGAGACTGTGACTGGCCCAAGGTCACCCAGTGAGCTTCATGACTGAGGGGAGATTTGAACCCTGGCCTTCCAGAGTCATAGGCCACCAGTCTAACCACTACACCACCCTGGCTCCCTAGAGTACTTCTGCTATGGGGCAGCTCTATAAATTAGGTATATAAATATGGGGAAAGCAAAATGTCACTTAGAGAAGGCTTTGAAATATTTTCCTTGAAGCTTGAATTTGTTTTATCCTGGATTATTTTATTTGATGTTTTAATGTGTTGTAAACTGCTTTGAGATTTTTTTCTTCAAAATATAAAGTGGTATTGAAATGATGATGATGATGATAAATAGAACTCCGCACAAAAAATAAAACAAAAAGGCATCTAGACATTCTGTTGTGGAGAACGTAACCCAGGTTCAAGGTGCTTTTTGGTGATTAGCTTGTATATCTGAGTTCCTAACAATGGATTTTGGTGGATCTACTCAGACCAACATTGGGTATCACCTTCTGTGCAGTTTATTTCTGTGGCTGTGTAATGCTGGATATAGAATTGCTGGTTCTCTTAATGCACGTGGAACATCTGCATCAGAATAAAGCAGAGCCTCCTGTAGCCAGACACAAAATATGTCCAATTATAGAGGGTGAACTTTAATTGAGATGGTCTGGAGTATAATGGGCAGCCACTGTGTGTCACAGGTGCGATAGGAAGCTGGGGTGGGGAGCAGTGTTATAACATGCCTGGATAGGAGCAGAAGAGCCTGTAGATGTGATATACATGAAGTATTCAGGGTCAAACTGACTGAGGGCTCATCCTTTTGGGCTGCATTTCTAGCCACAGACCTGGGCTTTAAAGCTCCATGTCTGAGTGGATTTTGTTTTTATCCTGGCACTTTCCCTGGGGAAACCTTCATTTTACCACTCAATTGGAGCCTCTGGCAATCTGGTTTTCCACGGATTGCCATTTGCTCCGATTCAGTGGTAAAACATGGTTTTCCCCAGGGAAAGTGCCAGGACAAAAACGAAAACTCAGACATGGAGCTTTAAAGTGCAGACCAGTACCTGGAAAGCAGTGTGCGAAACTGAGCCCTCAGTTGCAGAGAACATGCTTAACATTCAGAAGATCCCAAGTTTAGTTGCTGGTGTCTCCAGTTAAAAGGAGTCGGGTAGCAGGCATTGGTAAAGACCCGTCACCACAGGCAACCCTGTGGAGTCATTGGCAGCCAAAGCAGGTGACACTACTGGGTAAGGTGGACCAATAACCTGCCTTGCCCTGGCCTATAGACCTGGTTACAGCATAAAAGTTGTACCCTGTACCCTGACTTACCTTTCTCATTCTGTGCAGCTGCTGCCTTCTTTCCAGATCCCCAAAGGCACACACCTCCATTGTCTCCCAAGACAGACAGATGCCAACAACAGCAACAGTACTAAATGTAGCACCACCCCAAGGCACAGATTGGCCAGCTGCATATGTTCTGTAGGGTACACCAGAGTAGCACCATTTCATTATTTGGATTCAACCTGTGGCACACACTCCCTATAAAGATCAGCTTTTATTGGTGCAGAGTTTTAGTCGGTGGTGCTATATATGAAAAACAAAATATGGGTGGGCAACCAAAACTTTTCAGAGAGGTTTGGCTAGGAGTTGTTTGGTGGAACTAGAACCTACTTTGCAAAGTAAGGCAACCAACCTCACAACAAAAGTTTAGCAGGCTGAAGTTTCAGTGGCTGTGTCGTTGGAAAGCTCCACCCATGTGGTGCTACGGATAAGGAGTATAGTTCATGAGGAACTCCTCATGTGTTGAAACCAGTGTGGGAATGCTCCAAGTCCTTTTGTTTCTGTGTAGTTTATATAGGAGGAAAAACATTAGACACCTTCTAAGATAACGTGTGAGAGAGGAATACCTTTGTAGGGGAAGCTAATTTGCTTTCCCTTCAGCTGATTTGAAAAACCATTACTGCTTTTTTTGTTTGTGGATTTTTTTTAAAAATGTGGCACGTTGTAAGGAGATACCTTGCACTTTCTCAGATCAGCTGTTCATCCTGTCTGATGTTGCCTGCCCTAGTAGACAGCAGCTGTCCAGTTCTCAGTCTGAGGTCTTTCCCCATTCTGATACTTGAGACCCTTTAACAGGGACTGAACCGGGGATTTCATGTGTGCAAAGCACGTGCTCTACTTCTGAGCTCTTGCCCTCCTCTCCACCCCACATTTTATCCCCTTTGAAATTAGGTTGGTGCTTTCCATTGGCTTGTAGAATCTTGAAAGCGAGCAGCTAATAGCTTTCATTTCTCCCTTTCTGGCTCAGCTTTTATAATTGCCTTGTAGCCCATTTCTAAGTTATGCTCTGCCAGCATACAAATGCTTAGGATAGATCTACCACCAGTTGTGCAAGCACTGTGTCACAAGACACAACATTGTGCTATTGTCACTCAGGCATTATGCTGGCACCACTGGAGCAATTAGCAAAAGCGGTTAAATGCCTGCACCATTTCTTCAGACATTTGTTGCAGAAACCTTTTTTTTAAAATGCAGTTTGAGATAGTCACAGTTCAATTGTGAATGTCAGAATCTCACAATTCTGCCTTTTCATCAAGCCTTCGAAATCTGTAAGACTAATCCTTAGCCCATTTAGTTCAGTGGGATTTACTTCTGAGTCAGTGCTCTTAGAATTTTGGCACATTATTATTTAGGTATAGCCCTAAGTGTATCAGTTGCATGTGAGTTACAATCCCAACATGGGAGTGACCATAGCTCAGTGGTAGAGCATCTGCTTGACATGGTCAGGTGGTCCTAGGGTTGATCCCTACCATCTCCAGTTAGGTGCCAGGTGATGTGAGGACTCTGGAGAGCTGCTGTCAGTCGGATGGACCAATGGTTTGACTTGGTACCCTTGTCAAGGAGCTGCGATGGGGCTGTGGTTGGCTCCTGAGTGTACAATTAGTGTCGAACCCTCATTTGCCTCTGTGCAATTATTATGTGAAGTGGCCTTACAAGAGTATCTGATCTTGAGTCTTTTTCTGGGGTAATTATCCTCACATGGGTTTTATTTTGCATTGAACCCTTGAGTCTTTGTTTGGAGGCTGATTTATTTGTTGAACTATGGATTGCAAGCCCTTGTTTTCTGCTCTGTGGTCTTTATCGCTACAGGCTCAAGAGTGGAATTGCCCTTGAGTGGAAGCCAGTAGGGAACAGGCCTTCTGAGAGCATTCTGGTCTGCTTTACTTTCTCCTGCTCTCTTTTTCTTCAGCTGAAGCATTGTAAACTAGTCTGGCTGCTGACTGCAACGGCTGCCGCCCAAACTCTTATATAACATGGGTGGGTAGGTGTGTGTGTGTGGTGGATTATTATATATGTGAGCTGAGCGATGTTATGGAGTGCTGCATGTTAGTACTTGTAAGTCTTCTGTGGCCCTGTCTCTGTGTTGTGTGATGCTGTAGCCTTGGCTGAAGGGACACTGGGAGGTGGCCCTAGTGAACCAAAGCTCTCACCCTGGTTGGCTGTATGCAGGGGCATTTTAACATATATAGTGGCAGGCAACTAGCAGCCTGGAGATTCAAGCTAGGCCCCAAAGCCTTTCTATCTGGGCCCTAGCAGAGGTCTTGTTCGCCAGGACACCCCTCTCCCCCTGCCACTCTCATGTGTGCTTTTTAGGCACCACAGTAGTCTGGTTTACACAGATAGCAGATGCGGTGATACATTTGTTCCTGTACTGTACCACTTGAGACCACAAGTGGGGGAGTTCAATGACTTAATACTCCACATATTCAAACAAACACACTTCTTGCACATAGAAACCTGATTTCAGACCAGAGGGTTCTTGCCTCACTTTTAACGTGTGGTAGCTGTTCTTTCTTTCTTTCTTTCTTTCTTTCTTTCTTTCTTTCTTTCTTTCTTTTGTGTTCAAACATGCTGTTTCCACCACAATCAGTAATGTAATCTGGGAACAGTAATGTAATCTGGGTACCTCACTCTTCATTGTTGTATCTACAAGATATGCTCTAGTCCAGGGGTAGTCAACCTTTTTATACCTACTGCCCACTAATGCCTCTTTCTTGATGGTAAAATTTCCTTACTGCTTCCCAGTGCTTGATGGAAGGAGGATTCAGCTTGTGCCATAGAACCCCCTCCCACCCACCCAGAATCCTGGGAGGGACCAGGTTGACAACCCCTGGACTAGACTGTCAGAATTTATTTAATAAAATGGTATCTCACCCTTCCACCAAGGAATTCAGGGCAACTTACATTGTTTCCTCCATTGGTCCTCTCAACAACCCTGTGAGGTTGTCCAGGCTGAGAGGGGGAGAGAGAGGTGTCTGTCACAGTGAGCTTCATGGCTAAGTGAGGATCTGAATTCTGATCTCCCTAGTTATTGTCCAACACAAATACTCTCTTGCTGCCCATTATTTACTCACTCACATGCATGAAGTGTTTGAAGTTTTTCGTTTTTCTACTTTCAAGCATTATATAAAATTTATGAAATGAAATGAAATAAACGGTTGGTAGCTGTGGGAGATAGAGCTTCAGTTGCAGGTTGCGGTGGTCGGAAAAAGAGTAAAGGGCCTGTGGCACAGCTCCTGCAAGAGTGAGTCTGTGAGTGGAGCCAAGCTTCCTAGGCCTAGCTCAGGTCAAATTTTCCCTTTCTCCCATTTCTTATACATGCCCTTCTTAACTCTCAGCTCCTTATGCAGCCATACCGGTTTCCTTAGATGCTTCCCACTTTTCTTTCTTGTTGGTATTGTGGGCATTTGGTCCTTCAATATTTCTCCTTTTAGAGTCTCCCATCCTCATTGAGTATTTCTAACCACGAGATCACACTCAGTAGTTCCTTCAGCTTTTTGAAATTGGTTGTCTTAAAGTCCAGAGTGCGTGTCCAACTACACTCAGCTTTCCCTTTCCTCTATATCATGAAACCCAGGAGGACATGATAATCTTCTCCCAGTTTTCTGAGTACTTGTTGATCAGTTCTTCCCTGATGGTGAGGACCTGATCCAAGATAGATGATCCCCTTGTGGCTTCTTCCATCTTCTGGGAGAAGAAAGTGTCAGTGAGGCAACAGAGAAATTTGTCGGACCTTACATTCTTGGCAGAGTTTGAGTTCCAACAGATATTGGAGAAACTGAAGTCTCCCATGACTACTGTATCTTTCCTTTTTGAATGTTTGGCAGTCTGCTCTAGGAAAGCATCATCCAAGTCTTCAGCCTGGCTTGGCAGTCTTTAGCAGACCCCCACAGTAAGGTCTCTGTTTTTCTCTTTCCTACATTTTTACCCATATACTCTCAATCTGCTTTCCATGGTCCAGGTCATGAAACCTTGAAACTTGACATTTTCTCCCAATCATGTTTTGGGAATAACTGTAACAGGCTTGCAAATAAACCAGTGTTAGATGGGCAGACTCTTGTGACGCATCCATTATACCTCTGAATACCAGAGATGTGCTCATGTCCTGCTTGTGGATATCCTGCCATCATTTCGTTAGCCACTGTGAGAACAGGATGTTGAACTAGATGGGCCATTGGCCTAATCCAGCTAAATACAGTTGCCATGTGAAATATATCTGCCAGGCTAGATTAGTTGTTGTGTGACTCCAGTAATTTTAGGATTCAGACTTCAGCAAGCTTTACTTGGATGGGAAGAGGTATAAACCTTATTGCAAATTCACAACATCTCTTTAAAGGATAACTTGTCTAGCTTGTAGAATGCTATTATGGACTGAATGCCTTAAAACACCCACCCACCCACCCTGTGTTTTATATTGTTATTTCTGAAGTGTATCATTAATTAATAAGAGTTGTTGACAGAATACACCCACTGGGGGAAAATATTTAGTGTTTATTCATGTGAGCTACCAATTCCAAGATTTTGACAACTACAGTCAAACTATAGTAGATGTTTATACCTGTACAGAAGGTAGGAAGAGAGACAGGAAGAATACTAGAGATCAGAAACAGTCTTATTCTTTCTGGAGAAGTGCCTGCCTATTGTCCTTTTCCTATGCCATATCTGAAAAAGATATTTTCATGACAGAGACCCAGACTGCAAATGTTGTACCCTTCGGAGTGAAATATTTAATAAGAAACTAAACAACTGATCACTTCATAGAATCATAGAGTTGGAAGGAACCTTGGAAATCAGCTGATTCAATCCCTTGCTCAATGACAGGAATCTTTCAACTGCAGCTTCCCTGACCTTTGCTTAAGTACCTCCAGCAAAAGGGAGTCCCCCCCCCACCTCCCCCACGGCAGTCTGTTCCTCTGTGAAAACTGCTATTACCACTTGGAGGTGTCTCCTAATCCAGCCTTCGCCAACTTGGTGCCTTCCAGCTGTTTTGGACTACAGGTGTTTTAGTCCAAAACGGCTAGACAGCACCAGGTTGGCCAATACTGTTCTAATATCTAGCCAAAACCTCCCACTTGGATTTTCTACCCATTATTCTAGTCCTGTTTTATGGAGCAACAGAGGAACAAGTCTTCAGATATTTAAAGCCTGCTATCATATCTCTTTTTAATCTTCTCCAGGCTACAATATACTCACCTGCCTTCTAGTGGTACCCCCAAGTCTGCCTCCCCAGGCTGATTACCTCACACTGCATAGTTGTAGGGTGTACCTGTACATGATCTCTTTAAATTGTAATCATAAAAATAGGGGGGGGGGATTCAAAGAAGACCCTGGAATATCCATGGGGATGTGGCCTTGCATAGTTGCATGGGGAAATGTATATCTGAGTATGTCCAGGGCACCAATATGCCATCTATTTTCTCTGTGATGCTTTGGCAAGGTAAAATGTCTTTTGATAGTGCAAACATAAGTCCTCTGTAATCCTCTGCAGAAACAACACTCTACATTTTATTCGCATGTTGTGGGATACAGTTTGAATGCAACAATATGTTCATTGTGTGACAATCCCGCAAGAGTAAAAGTTAGTGTGGCTGTATATATCTGCAGAATGTTGACACAGGAAAGAATCCAGGCAAATAATTAAAAAGTGGTAGTAACATGCCCTACTTCGCTCTGCTCTTGGAAATCCTGGAAGGCTCCTAGGCTTTGGTGTAATCTGCTGAACTCTTAATGCTTCCCTAGCCTTGGGGAATATTTGCACTGTAAACATATATATCAACCTTATGTCATTCTAATCCCCACTGCTTCCTCCAGGTAATCCAGAAGATTGCTGGTTGGGTGAAGATGCTGAATATTCTATATAATTGACCTTCCTCCCAGAATAATAACAATAACAATAATATTGTATATGCTGCTTACTACAAAAAGCATCTCAAAATGACTTACATTTTTTTAAAAAACGCGTACAAGTATCAAATTTAAAAATACATTAATAACTTAAAGTGCTCATCCTGCAATAACATAAAAAGGGCACATGCTACCCTTTCCAACTAAAAGATAAATACAAATTGGGAGCAAAGTGCCTGGATGAATAGGAATGTCTTCACCCTGTCCCTGAAAGCTTATAGTGATGTCAATAAGCTCATCTCTCTGGGGAGAGCATTCCACATTTGGGAAGCCATCCCTGAGAAGTCCTGGTTTCATGTTGATGCCCTCTGTAGCACCGTCAGTTTATGGGGTTCCCAGGGAAGAACCAGTTTTAAGTTTGTAGTTCAGTCTGTAAGAGCTCCTGGTGCTTTTTATTGCTCTGCTCTTGCTTGCTTTAGTGCAAACCCCCCCCCCCCATGAAATCTTTCACTAATTGAAAGCCGTCCTTCTTTCCCTTTTCACTCATTGCAAAAGGCTGCTGGATTCCTGTGCTGCCTTAGATTCTCTTGAAGTAGGGTGAGCTGGGGTAGATCCAGTAGGCAAGCAGAGAGA